CGCGAACGGACGACGAGGATGACTGACACCTCCAAACATGATAAGCATTATTCATGACATTCGTGCCGTGCAAAACATTACTGCGTGCTACGCTCTTAGTGCGCTCGCGGTCATTTCGCTAGCTTCACGTAGACGGAGTGTGGTGTTAGGTGACGTCAGTGATGACTGATGCAAACATGATAATCATGACATGCGTGTCATGTATGAACATGACAGCATACCATGATCATGATGCGCTCGCGGCTGTTTCGCTACCTTTGCATATATGAAATTTCGTATTACGAGACGTGAATGGACGACGAAGGTAAATGACAGATCCATACATCATAATCAATATGTACTTGTCTTTTAAAACATGACTACATGCTACGCTCATAGCGTGCTCGTGGCTGTTTCGCTAGCTCGACATATACAGAATTTGGTATTTTGTTATGTGAATAGACGATGAAGGTAAATGACACATTGAAAGATGATAATCAGTTCTTGCGTGTCATGTAGAACATGACAACATACAACGCTCATGATGCGCTCGCGACCGTTTCACTATTTTTACATATAACAAATTTGACATTGCGTCACGTGAATGGATGACGAGGATAACTGAAACGTCCAAACACGGTAATCATGATATGCGTGTCATGTAAAGCATGACAATCGTTACGCTCATAGCGCGCTCGCGGCCGTTTCGCTTGATCCACGTATACCAAATTTGGTATTACGTTACGTGAATAGACGACAAAGGTAGATGACACGTCCGGACATGATAATCATGACATGGAAGTCATTTACGGCGTAATTTACGTCCACCTAGTAACGTTGTGATGATTTTAATGTGACATGTAAACCTATCTCATTCGTGCTTCGCATGTCATCGATTGCCACGGTACGTAGGATCTCCCTTTTTTTTAAGCAGAGTAAAAAAGAAAGGCTGAAGGAAACCGATGGATGAAAGCGTGCATTTATATAGCGCGGAAGCTGATGACGAAAACGGAAATAACTAGGTGTTCAGTCGGTTCAAATACTTGTACGAAGGAAACTGTGAGCTGCTTAGTTTGCAAGAAGTGCGGTATAGCTTTGTGTGAATTCATTGCGGATGCTGTAGTGACCTGGCACGTAAAGTCTGTTTTTTGGTTCATGAAAGATGCATCCAGTGCCTAGGTTGCAGTTTCTCAAGTTTGGTCTATGGCAGCAAGTTTAACTTGGAGCCACCGCTAATGACGCAGAGAGAAAGTTTGCTATATCAGATTTTTTTCAGTTGTTTTTATCATTCTTCGTGTTGTAGTCCCACGTTGTACCGTTTACTGTTCAGTAACGCTCATTTGGCATTTTGAAATAATGGTTAGTTCATCATCAAACAAGCGTGATCTGCAGACCTAATATAAATTTTCAATTTTTGTGCGCTTTACATGATTACTTTTGTTCACGAGCATAAAGGTCAGGCATCTCTGTATTAGTTCTTATAAATGAATGAGTTTTCTTTAGTTATTTCAATATTTGAGGTGCAGTACAATTACAACTTGAATGCAGGGGTCAACGAGATAATCCACTATCTGTGGACTGTGAAGGAACTGTATTTGACAGCTAATTCTGTACCGCAAGCCGATATTTTTTTGCGTATTTACAATAACAATACATATGAAAGGGGGAATAAGCCGAAAAGTTCGGAAATCTAGCTTTAGTTCTAGAAGAACACAAGTGTCGATATGTGCCAACGCTTTCTAGCTTGTTAGCTTGTTCCTATGTTGTGGCTCGTAACCACTACGGGTGACCGGCCATTAAACCGGCAATTAATGTAATGGGGCAAAAAGAATTTGGAATTTTGATGAAGGAAAAAATAACTATTCGGTCATCTAGAAAATAATAAATGGACAGTCGCAAGGTTACCTAAGAATTATGGAGGCAAAGAACTGTTAATTGAAATGAATAAATAAATGATAAATCCAAACAACTAAAATTCCGTGAGTAAAAACCTAACAAGTAAACATTCTTGAGTCTCTAATTACTCAGGTCTATCTCTATTCTTCCTCGTTCATGGTAGCTTTGCTTGGTGATGACTTTTATTCAACATATAGTAATTACCATTCTTACTACTTACCACAATAAACGCCTAGGTTACCAGTTCAACGGTTTCATAGTTATCTTTGTTTGATGAATGACGAGTCGGTAGACTAGCCTGTGGGCTATCTACAAGGTGAATGTGCAATAGTGGTTGTGCAATATCATCATCATGATCACAAACCTTCATGTGGCCACTTGCTAACGACTCTTATTCAAGTCGTTTGTTATCGTTCATTATCACCCTCATACTCGTGTTGAACACTTTCGTCCCCGTCATCATTATCACCAATGAAGGCCCACTTGTTTGCCCTGAGCTCTTAGTTCGCAACTCTTAGTTCTTCGTTATCACCTGTTGGTCATTGTTACCTATGCGTTCATGGTCATGTTCAAACTGAATGCTCTCATCATCAATAGTAGTATTGTTGAAGAGCCCTTTGAGTATTAATGGCTCTGCTTCAACGCCCCAGTTTTTGGTTCTCTCCAAACACGAACACCCGTTTCTGCTAGTCAGCTCAAAAATTATACCATGCGTTTGTTCATCACTTAAACCACGTGCCGAACAAACCATTCGGAACATACGATCTAAAAGGCGTATTTACTTATATTATAGATAACGTTTGCTGCAGATCCGCACGACAGCCAAGCGGGTCCTAATATCATGCAGCGTTCTACTTGTACGAACTCGGAATGCTTGGCACTACAAAGGTTTGCGCCCCAGCGAGAACTTACCTAAGAAAACTTTGGTCAAGCACAGTGCAACAACAAAATAAACTCTTCGTTTTCTCGAATAGTATCAAATTATTTAAAAACTTTCACAAGTTTATAGTGAACTTAAGGAAGAAAATTCAGGCATACACCTCCACAGGCGACTGAAGAAGAACGCCATTGTTATGTGCAAGATGCAAAATTTGGCGAGCTGATGCAGGTTCATTGTGGCTAACCTCGCGAGGACCCAAACCCAGTTCTGTGTTCACTTACCGCTGTCTGTTCGCAGACCTGTACAAATACATATGTTTCTTGTTAATTAAATGCTGAAGTGATGCCAACATTTCAACCCCCTTTTTAAGGCAATGCTGGCTAGTATGATCCCACTTAACGGATATGTTTTCTCCTTATATGTGAACTCCGGGATATTAACGGTTAAAAGAAAAACCAGCGCTAGCTATAAACCTTCGCCATATACTTCACTCTCTTTTCGTAAACGAAAATACTTATTTGGACGAGATTCAACATTCCTTTAGATCTCTGTCTCAAGCGTGCATAAATGCATTATTTGTTAGGCTACCTACAATGAGCTTTCTGTAATGCCCTAATTAAAAATTGACTTCAATAATTTAGTTCGTTGGTGGATGGTTAGTTCTTTTACTGGGCATTGATCAATGATGTCGAATGGCTTAAAATGTGCTGTATAGATCAACGCTTCTCTACCGGGGGGTGCTTTTATACAGATTGTCTTTCTTTTTCTTTACAATATGCATAATTTCAGAAAACATCCTATCACAGCAAGGCTCCTATCGTTCTCACTCACGAACTTGACGTCGTAACAGAAATACTGTGCCGTAGCTGAAATAGGAGATTTGCGACTAATTAACAGAATCTTTTCAATTTACTTTTTAACTGTTTACTTGAGGGCTCTTGATTTTATATTGAAAGTTGTAGTACATGGCGATTTACGACGTGTCAATTTTTCATGAATCACAAAAGTTGCACATAATTCGGTATGTTCATAAGCGAATTACAAGGGCAGTATACCGAAATTGATCGCGCCGGGATCCCTCAGTCTCGTCAGAGCCCAACTGCCCCTGTCAAAGAAGCGACGAAATTTGAATAACGTTGAGTCGTGTGTGTATCTTTCGTGAAGAACGGGGAGGCTAAGCTAATTATATTGGCCAAGGTAAGGTGTGACTAAGCTAATTCAGTAGAAACGTGTCTGCGAATGCCAGCTTCGTGGAAACTCCAAGTTTCTAGCAACAGTGAGTACAGGCACAGTGTTTGAGCTGTTGGTTCTCCCACTCGCAATGGGAGCAAGCACAACTTGGTCAGTGCAACTGCTCGTTGGCTTCTTGGCTGAACGTACGAGTTCCACTGTTCCACGTGAGAGCGTTTTAGGGGCCGCAGGTACACCACAGGCCCCCTACAGTGCATTCGCGGCAAGAACAGCGCTTGGCTCAGAGCCAAGCATCTGCTGTAAATTTCAACCTCATCGATGTGACAGCGCCACCAGTGCGATATTGAACGAAGCGCGAAGAAGCATGGTATTTAGGTTTCGCTGCTCGCCGCTAGACAGCGCGATAGACGTAGCTGTGGTGTGCCCTAGCGCTAGGTCGAATAACTGCTTAGTTTCACTTGCTATCCGTGAGGCGGCGCCACCAAACTAAGTTTAGAGGTTTGGCGGACTCCAGCGCTTCTAGCGCGAGATCGAAGTGACGACTGGCGACTCGACTCGTGCCGGCTGGCCGCTGAGTTACGGACGTTCTTCTTTTTCCCTCTTCCTGAACTCTGCACCCTCTCCTCCCCGCTTTCGAAATCCGGTAGCTGGCCTGGATGGTGGGCCCGATGTCGAGGAAAGAAAAGGGCTTAAACACGGCGAGCGAAGAAACGAGTGTACGCTCGGCGGTGGCCTGTTTCCATGACAACCGTTGTCCCGCGGGAGCGGGGGAAAAAGAGGGAACCGAAAGGGGAAGAACGAAACTTCTTTCGAGAGTCAGTGCCGCCCACACGCTCGCTTCTGGCGCTCACACACACACAGATCGCTCTCGTTCCTCACACGTAGAGTGAGAGATAGAGACGGCGACGGCTTCCTGCGTGGGGTTGGCGCATGCGCGGCCGTTCGTTCCACAGGAAGTCCTGCGCGCGTTTCCCCCGTTCTCCGCGGTCCTTCTTCCCGCGGCGGCCGGTGGTCCGACCGTGGGTCGCCGTTCCGAGGGAAGGGAGAACAGTGCGTCTCGCGTCGGCACGCGCCGTCCATGCTGAGCGCCATGAGCCGGCTCCGGCCGGGCTCTCCCAGCTCGTCGGGCCAGTCGTCTCCCGAGCCACCGGCACCTACGGCGACCGCGGGTCGACACAAGCAGCTCATCCGTCGTGTCCTGGCGACGGGGCCCCTGCGCGGATCGTCCAAGAAAAACTCCGCGGCCGCCAACGCAAACTCTGCAGCGGTCAAGCACTCGGGATCACAGAAGGACATTGTGAGTGGGACGATGCCGTTTACCTCTGCTCGGTTTGCGCCGCGGAAAGGCGCCGCAGTTTGCTGGGGCGCGAGGTTCGTATAGCGTGGGCGATCCACGCGTGAGTGGAACGGGATGCGCGGATAAGTGGATGTAAGAACTGTGACAGAAAGGAGATATCGGGGATCTGGTAACGCTGTAGTTACAATAGCAATGAAGTTCGCGGTCGGTAAGTTTCCCGAAACGATGAATGCAAGAAACGTTTTGCAGAACTCGCATGATACGTTCGTAGAATCCGCTTCACGTCATGCGCAGCTGCCCCCTGCACATCAACGCATGCTTTGCGGAGCGAGAAAAGCCACGTCTCGGTGCGTGCACCGCATCTCAGAGCCAATGCTTGGGAGCCAGTGCTGTCGCGTGCTCATTGCTACCGTTCGCACACCGTCATCGAGCTCTATAAGACCAACGGCTGTGAATGGATGCTGTGGCTTTCTTATCTCCATAGGTTACCATGCAAGCATTGTAGACAGGGTTTTCGTCGAAAGTTGCAGGTTTCCTGACTGCGAGATAAGATAAGCGACAATTCAAGGAGGCTGCTCTGCAGGAAGTTACGCAGCCGACGTTTTTTATGCGAAGGCACTGACCATGTAACGAGGGGCAGAACAGGTGAAGTTAAAACCTCTACATGTAATGTTAAGCATGTTTCCGCCTCTTGGAGAATGCGTGGATGCCACTGAGTTCGCCTGTTTATTTCATATTCCAGAAACAACTGATATCGACGGTGTTTCTCGGAAACACATTCTTAGTAGACAGGTATATCGATTCCCCACAGGACACGCTGTGCTTGAAACGTGCTCAGAAAACGTGCTGCAAATATCATGTAACATCCTATGTTACGAAAGTATGTGTTAACTGTGTAGAAGCACGTGCGCGCTTGAATCGTTACGAAAGCAAGTGCAGTCCAGCAACGGCACGATTGCCCTCCACTCTTATCGCTAGCTGTTAACCAACTACGCATTCCGCTGAAACCGTCGGAGAAGCATCGCTTGAAGCACGAAATTGTATAAAATCAGAATAGCGCTTTTAATATACCACGTGTGTGGTACGAGTAAACGTTCGTCATGGTGGAGCAGTGGTTATGGGGTTCGGTGCTGACCTGATGGTCGCATTTCAATGGAAGCGAAATGGCCCCTGTACTGTGAAATGTCAGTGCACTGAAAAACAAAAGATGGTCGAAACTCCCGCAGCCATCCACGTACCTCGCAGTCATATGGTGGTTTCGGGACGGTAAACGGTGGATATTATTACTAAGGATTACAAAACAGCCACAGGCATTCTTCGTAAAATTGATACTTCAACATATAGATGGATGTAAGCCGGTCCTCAAGTAAGTCGATTACTTGGCCCGTCAAACGCAATTGCCTGCCTCACAAACGCTGTCCAGCACTCACGGGTCTGACTTAGGCAATCTCGACTACTGCTGCGAGACTCACTGCGATGTCCAAGCTGAATGTTCTCAGAAGAGAAGCGGTCTTATGAAAATAAGTAACAGCAAAACAACAACGCAAAACACAGAAGGTGGAGGGGCATTTCCTTACCCCCCAATATTGATGCGCCAGTGAAAAAAAAAAAAGCCAAGAAGCAAGCAATGTGGACGAAAACATGGGCACGCGTATCTTCGCGTTTGTTTTTGCTTCTTGTTTTACTTTTTCATCCTCTCGATACAAATCAGCAGTGAGGAGATAGCAGCAAATCAGCTCTGAAGTGTTTACTTATCGCGCTTTTGTAGATTATGCATTGTACGCGTACATAGTTTGAGCTCATACTTGTCTATTTACGAGCGAAGCTTGGGCTTCAAATCTTCAAAGTTTGCTTTGTTTCATCTGAAGCTTGGTGGTCCCTAATGTAAAAACTCCAACAAAAGTGCTTTACGGGGACCTATAGGCAGCAGTTACAGTAAACATGGAGCAACGTTCTTGCAAGTGTGGAGTACGACACAACGGGTACGTATCAAGTATGTATCAAGAACGAGTACGTATCAAGAAGGAAACGTACAAAATATGCCTCTTGAACGCGAATATGTCAACATGATATGGGAGCCTATATATTGAATAACGTTTTTGCTGCACTAGGGCAATAAATGAACAAACAAATAAATAAATATAATAAATAAGTAGGTGAATATAAAAATAGAAAATATTTTCGGGTGTTGTGACATAACTAGAATGAGCTTTTAAAAGGGCTACACGAACTAATACTCCGGAAGATTGGCTTAATTATAAAAATCTTTCAAAACAAGTGGAGGCCTCAATAAAAGAGGCCAAGGAAAAATATTTTAACTGCACCTTACCTAACCTTTTGAAAACTGACCCCCAGAAATTCTGGCGCGTGGTGAACCCTACAGCCTACCCTTCTGAGCCAACTCTACTGAGTGATCAAGGCATAGCGTTGTCGCCAGAGGAAAGTGCTGAATGCTTCAACGAATTTTTTGCATCAGTGTTCACGGAAGAACTTCCACTAGACTCACTGGCACTGTTAAAACCTACCATTCACGACCCTTTTTCTTCAATTACAATAACTGAAAATGGTGTCGCGCAAGCTGTACAACGCCTTCCTCATAAGACTATAGCCCGGGGCCCGACGGAATTAGTGCTAAACTCCTAAAATTAACCTGCCACAGATCAGCGTATTTATTGTCGCTGATCTTTCAGCAGTCGCTTGACACGGGCTGTGTACCGGAAGACTGGAAATATGCCTTTGTTAAACCCATATACAAATCCGGCCAAAAGTCAAGTCCGAACAACTACCGTCCAATCTCTCTAACCTGTATATCTTGCAAGCTATTAGAACATATCATTTACTCGAAAATTATATCTCACTTGAACAGAAACAACATCCTCATCCCAAACCAACACGGCTTTCGGGAAAAAACGCTCTTGCAACACCCAACTATTCGAATTGTTGACAGACTTGCACAAATACATGCATAGCTCTGCTCCTACAGATGCTATTTTTATAGACCTTTCAAAGGCTTTTGATCGCGTCCAACATAACCGATTAATAACTAAAGTCCGTAACCTCCAGCTTGATCAGAAAACAATCCAATGGATTCAAGAGTTCCTCTGTAACCGGTCGCAATCGGTCAAACTTAACCACATAATTTCCAGAAAGTGCATGGTAAAATCCGGTGTCCCCCAGGGCTTCGTGCTCGGACCATTATTATTTTTGGTCTACATCAATGACATTGGATCTAATATTGTTTCTTCTCTACGCCTATTCGCAGATGATTGCGTTATATATAAGGAGATTACCGAACCGAATGACAGTAGCATTCTACAGTCAGATTTGTTAAAACTCGCAGAGTGGTGCAATTTGTGGCAGATGCACATCAACGCTGAAAAAACCAAACATATTAGATTTACTTCCGTAGCCAAACCCTCATCATCCGTCAGATACATAGTCAATAGCACCGTAATTGAGACCGTTTCATCCACAAAATACCTCGGCATTTTCTTTAGTTCCGACCTAACCTGGAACAGTCACATTGAATACATCACCAGCAAATCATCAAAAAAACTCGGTCTTTTGAAACGCCGCCTCAGATGCGCAAACTTGGAAACTAAACTTCATGCATATCAAGCTCTGATCAGGCCTTCACTAGAGTATGCGTCAACCATCTGGCATCCACACACGGCAATGTTATCTGATATGCTAGAATCGGTACAAAATAAAGCAGCTCGGTTTATCACCTCCTGTCATTCTCGCCACCAAAGCGTAACATGTCTTAAGCGTTCTCTGAACCTTCCATTGCTTGCCACGCGCAGAAAGTTGTCCCGCCTATGTTTTTTCCATAGTTTATATCATAGTGACTCGTCATTTTCCCGATCATTCATTCACCCAGCTCCCTACGTTTCTGATCGCGTTGGTCATGCACATAAGGTCAATACAATATATTCACGCACTAAGAAATACCAATTTTCACCTCTGCTGTTATCCATTAACGAGTGGAACGCGCTGCCCTCAAACATCGTCGCTATTACAGAACCCTCCCTTTTCCAATCTGCAGTACAAACTTACTTAGAAGTTGACAATAATTTGTAACCACCATTGACATTTAATGTTTAACGCATGCTCAGAGAATGTTTATTGCTATTTCTTGAAATATGTTTCCTGTTATGGTGGGCTGCTTACTGTGTTTCTTGCTTATTGTGTTATTAGTAATGTTGCTTGGGCTATCGGTCTGTTTGATTACTAGTATTACTCCCTGACATGTTGTTTTACTGATGCTATAGTAACCTCTTGTATGTATCCCCCCTTATGTAATGCCCTCCGGGCTCTTAAGGTATTTAAATAAATAAATAAATAAATAAACGAATAATAAAAGTGGTTAACCGCAAGTAAAGAAACCAAGGGACAGGTGATTGGTGATACTTGTTTTATTTTATATCAGGCCCGATTGGATAACTACCTGAGATACGCTCAATACACGTATATTGTATAATTGTACAGCTGAAAGCACTAGAAGTTGAAAGATAAACCAGTACGGTGCGCGTTAAGACCAGGTTAATTGTATCGCCGTAAATGAAATTAATTTGCTTAACCTTTCATTGCCGAGACAGCCTCGTACATTGACGTATTAAGACTACAGTAAACTCAGAATCCTACGCTTGGGCAGGCTCGTTCTTTTCTGCAATATTGGATTGCTCCCGAACGGTAATTACGCCCACGCGCCAAGTCCACCAGCGTGAGCGGTGTCTCGGGGGAAGACTCAAGGTCCTGCTGCAGTGGCCCAAATGGACCCTTTGCCGCCGCCGGCAAGACATCGGATGGCGAGCACCAAACGATTTGCCTCCCATTCAAGGGCGCCTCTTTCGCGCGAACCGTTAACCATGGACCGGTGGGCCGTTATCGGCAGCGCGCCGATGGCTTTAACGAGCTGCCGCCTCTGTGTGTGCGTGTGTGGGCCGATCGGAGAGTGTTGTGGAATCCGTGCAAGAGGTGGAGAAACGGAGTGCCGACCT